GGGGGCTTCCGAAAATAAGGGACCCTAATATATAGTACCCTAAATAATAGGATCCTTATTATAAGGACCCCAAAATAAGGTACCCCTTATATTCGGAAACTCCCAAATGGCACGATGAGGGTTTAGCGTTGGGGCATGAAGGCTGGGGGTTTAGCGGGTTGTTGCTGCCGCCAGAAATTCCATGCTTGAGCTTCTGGGCTTACCGGTGGATTTGGCAGCCAAACACTAGTGCTACACCTGAAGTAAGCCATGCTGGCAACATTACGAGTACGCACAGCGGCGACAACACCAGGAACCCCAAACCCTCAACGTTCAAAGGAACCGTTTTTTAATGGTAATTGCTGCTACTACTACTACTACTACTACTACTACTACTACTACTACGCATGTTACTGCATTATATGTAGTTGTCTTATGCTACATAATGATATGTTAGGCTATGTTATTTTAGGTCATGTCATGGCATGGTTTGCTGAGCTATCCAATGCTATGCTATGTTAGCTATGGCATGTTGTGTTATGTGATATACTCTGGTACATTGTTTAGTATAACCTCTTCCTGTATCGTTTTATGGTATCATGAATGGAATATAGTGTATGGCATATGATATATTATGTTATATTCTACTAATCTTACCATATTATATTACAGCATAGTACGTAAACGGTATAAAGTATATACTATATAGTATATAGTGGAATTAAATGATACAGTATATAGTATACAGTATATAGTATATAGCATAAAGCACAAAGAAAAGGGTAAACAGTATGTAGTGTATGTTATACAGTGCAGTATATCTAGAATCGAGCAGGTAGCATCTAGTATCTAGCACCGAATATACAATTTGAAGTATCAGTATGTTGCATTACATTACATCACGTTATCACATGACATGGAAGGCTGTATTATTATATCATGTACTGTCTTGTCCTGCATTCTATCGTATTATTGTATTATGCTATACTTCGCTACATCATACTATACTGTACTATGCTATACCTATATTTTGTTCTGATACATTACAATACATGTTCTTGTTATGTCATGCTACATTATAGTAGAAAATACTGTATTGCGATCACAGTAGCCAGTCGCCCCAGGCGGAACCTGCACCGGGGGGGCTAGGTTCGGATTTCCAAAGAGCGACCTGCTGGATTTTTTCAGGGTATTGTCTCTAGGGCCACTTTAGGGTTTAGGGTTTAGGGGGATTTCGTCAGGATATTTCTTTAGGAAATGTTCAGAAGTCATGCCCGGAATAATCACGTCGGCGCTGTTCATCTGCTGGGTTCTCAATCGTTCGGTCAACAATCAAAAATAATTTTATGACGATCGACCCCCAACCACACACAGAGGGAACTCAGCGAAACTTCGACCGTGAAACAGGCACGGCCGCTTCTCGTGGCGGTTGCTCGCGGCAGATTCGAAAGCCGGCCGTGCACGGAAGTCCAGAACCAATTGGGGGGGTGTGCTACGAGTACTTCATGCAGAGGCTCCTTTTAAGAAAAACCTATATTGAGGATTCATTTGTTCCTGAAACTCTGATGTGATTGAGGACCCACGAACCCAGAATCCCAAACGCCTCTGAGTCCGACCCGAAGACGAGGAACTAAGTTTTAAGGGCCTTCAGCGGGGAAGGGTTCATGATTCTATACGGGCTACCTATGGAAATAACAGCAATGACCTCTTATTGCAACACTAACAAAATATTGCCCACCAAGGCTCAGACCATGAAATACACAACAACCCCATTGCAATGATCAAGGCCCGTGTTGCAAACCCCATAAACCCCCTATGCAACAATTGTCTGATAGCTAAGGCCCCCGTCGACCCTATGCCCATCTTTAAACCCTAAACCCGGTGGAGGTTTTCTTTTTTGAAAGGTTTCGCGGGAGGTTTTTCAAAAGGTTTGGCAGGGTATGGTTTGGGTGCACCCGTGCGGCAAGCTATTGGGGGATCTTCCTTTGCGGGTTTGCCTGTGCGTGAGGCTATTTTGGGGGGATTCTACTTTTAACTGTTGGCCTGTGAGTCAAACCATTGGGAAATTCTACTTTTCGGGGTCTGTGCATCAAGCTATTGGGTCTATTTCTTAGGGTTGCTTGTGCGTCCAGCCATTGGTGGAATTCCAGTTTTCAGGGTTTGCATCAAGCTATTGGGCGACTTTACTTTTCGGGGATTGCCTGCGCGTGAGGCTGTTTGGGGATTCTACTTTTCAGGGTTGGCCTGTGCGTCAAGCTGTTGGGAAATTCTACTTTTCGGGATTTGCCGGTGGCCATGGTGGTGGCGGTGGTGATGGTGGTGCTGGTGCTGGTGCTGGTGCTGGTGCTGGTGCTGGTGCTGGTGCTGGTGCTGGTGCTGGTGCTGGTGCTGGTGCTGGTGCTGGTGCTGGTGCTGGTGCCGGTGCTGGTTGGAGCAGCACCCGTGGTAAAAGAGTAGCGTCTCTGCTTGCTTGCATGCTGTTGTCGTATGTACGTGAACTAATAGAGAACGGCTAAAGTCTCGGGACTTGACATTCCTGTTCTACCTTGCAAAGGCTTAGGGTTATCCACATAATCACGTACAGAACCAAGGAACTGCGACACGAAGCGTGTAAAGGACAAGACGACCAGGGCATCAGGCGACCAGAAGATTAAAGGGTTTGAGAACGAGAAGACCAAAGCAAGAGGGATCGGGTGGCCAAGCGCCCAACGGACGTGAAGACCAGGAGGCCCGAGAAACAGGGGTGAGGCATCAACAAATATGTTAAACTATATAGAAACAACTTATTTCGCAAAGATCAAAAACGAGTTGAAGGATAAAACAAAGACTATTCCTCAATTCATAAGCAAAATAGAGAGGAGGCAGGCACATTAAAAGATCAAAACAAACTAGCAAGTAGTCTGTTTTATTGGCACCATCGCGTGGAGACAAGGTAATACGCGTTCGTAAGCTATTGGGGAACTACACTTTGCGGGGTTCTGTTTTGCATCAGCTATTGAAGAATTTCAACTTCCAGCTTCTTGAAGGCTACATGAAAGAAAGTAATGTCCGTTGATGGAATCCTGTCCTTTCAAGCAAATTCGCATGGCGTAAAGCTTAAAACGAGCGGGGGGGGGGTTGGGGGTGGGCGCCGCCCCCCCGCCCCTTTGCAAACAAAATGCTCGTACGAAGGCTACTCGAAGGAATGAACGGGGGGGTTGGGGGGCAGCCCCCCCCCATTTGCGAACAGAATGCTCATAGAAAGGCTGCTTGACGGAATGTCCACTGATGGCGCCCCATTCCTTGGAACTGTGGGGTTGGGGGGCGGGCAGCCCCCCCGTTTGCAAACAGAATGCCCATAGAAAGGCTGCTTGACGGAATGTCCACTGATGGCGCCCCATTCCTTGGAACTGTGGGGTTGGGGGGCGGGCAGCCCCCCCCCGTTTGCAAACAGAATGCCCATAGAAAGGCTGCTTGACGGAATGTCCATTGATGGAATGGCACGCCATTCTTGGAGGCAGGTTCGCACGGTTGAAAAGAAGGGGCGGATGCTTGGCTTCTTGGAAAGGAGTCACGAAGGGGAAACATGTCCGTTGACGGCACGCTGTCCTTTCAAGCAGATTCGCATGCTTTGTCTCTGCACTGAATTGCTGTCATTTTTTGTGTTTCTGTTTGTTGCTCGTTCTTTCTTTATGTATTTGCTTATTTTTGTTATTTCGTTCATTCTTTACGTCCTCCTTTCTAGGTTTTGCTTGGAGTATTTTTTTGATTCCAGGGACAGGTGTCTATGCTTTGTGTTGATGCGTTGTCTTCTGCTTTGTATTGTGCTCGTAAAATCAGAATAAGTCGTTCATCCCTTAAGTAGATTTTCTTTGACCTCGTGAACAGTTTTTTGACTTTTTGACCCCTATTCCAGAGGAACCAGAGGGCCAGAAGAACGACGTGGCAGAGAGTTGGACAGCCGCGGGACCAAGAAACCAGAGGACCAGCGGAGCGGAAGACGAGGGAAGCACGGGACCAGGATACCCAAAACCTTAAACCCTAAAGCCCTAAAACCCTAAACCCTAAACCCTAAACCCTAAACCCTAAACCCCCGTGACTGCAGGACCGGGAGACCGCAGGACCAGACGACCACTTCCAAGCCAAACCTTTTAACGGACAGCGTCTCGCCCAAACCTTTAAACAAGTCTGGCCCCCCTGGACCCCTAAACCCTAAACGTTCGAACCCTGAAACCTGGGAACGCAGGGGCTCGGCGCCTGTGAGTCCATCCTGGTAGAACATGCCTGTGTCGAGGGCTTGGATGGTTTAGAGCATAAGCTTTAGGTGTAGGGCTTAATTAAACGGGTTTAGGGCATCTATATATATATATATATACATAGGGTTTAGGGCGGAGGTACGTTTGAGGGCTCACTCCAGCGAGTTTACGCTGTAATTGAGGCCTGTAAACCATAAGTTACCCGACACCCTAAGTTCTCAACCGGCTGGTGTCTTGGACTGCCGAAGTTGGGATCTGTAGAACCTGTGCGAAGCGAACTCAGGATGCAGCACTCTGAAAGCACCGCTCAAGGACGTCCTAGCAGCCCAGAAGGCACTATCCTGATTTGCAGTTCTTTGCCGCGGTGGCTGTAAAGAGAGTGCAAACATGTGCAAACTATAGTTTAGTGGGTTACTATACTCGGCCATGCTGCATTGTGCTGTATTGCTCTTTGCCGTGCTATGCTGTGACATACCATGCCATACCATTCCCTACCATGCCATGCGATACCAAACTATATCATGCCCTACCTTACGAAACCATGCCGATATGTAGAGACACCACCCAGAGACAAACACTGACGATGCGCGTCTTTAGTAGGGTTCAGCTTGAATGATGAGATCCATTCTGTATACGTTTTCGAGGCTTTACAGGGGCCGTTATGGGATTCTCCGGCCAAGGGCCTTGGACTCCCGGATAGGCGGCTTCGCGCATGGGGCGCGCTTTTCGAGAATCTTTGGCCTTCTCCGTCATGTCGTGGGAGCAAACTCCCTACTTCCCCCATGTTCACGGGAAGTTCTCTTGAAGTAACCAATCTACTAGGATTGCATCTTGAAGCCACGCCAGCTGTCTGTGTATCCCTCTCTCTCTGATGGCTCCTTGCGGGTCGCATTCCTCTGTCACCGGTGCAGTATGACAACACTTGTGGTCAGTTTTTGTCCATTGACTAGCGGCCAAGGTAGCACTGCACCGTACGAGGGATACTGATGGTCTGAGCAGGGTACCGATGATGGCCATCATGGCCAGGCGACCATTGGCGAGCTCCTGCAGCAGGGGGCAAGTGGAGCTGCTATTCTCAAAGCAGTTCTTCTCAATCCGGACCTGTAGCTCTCCATTGTAACCAGTCCCCGGAATGTAGTGGATGCTGTGCCCTATGCTGCAGAAAGTTGGGATGTGACCCTGACGTCGCAACACGAGCCGATATTGCCAAACAGGATACGAAAACCCTAGAACCTAAAAGACCCCTTAGGACAAGCGGGACTGAAATTTTGACCGCCCCAGGCGTACTCCTTCGCGAGAGCCCTAGACTCCAAGGGAGGGAACGAGGGAGACTGCTGTGCGCATGCATTACATCATTACATAGAATGTACAGTCATCGTTCATACCTGTATATATATATATGTACAACGTGTATGTATGTGTGTATATATATGTACATGTATAGAAGCCTATGTTCATGAGCACACATACACATGCAAGCACACACACACACACACAAGCACACACGTGCATATGCATATCAAGAACTGCTCGTCTGACACGAAACACGGAACACGCTCATCAGATTTCCGCCCTAGAGTCCTAAGTTTATGAAGGTCGAGGTGCTGCGTTGAGCTTCTTCTTCTTCTCCTCAGGGTCTGCTGAGGTGAGGACGTACCAGCCGAAGTCGCCTCGAGTGCAGAAACTGCACGAAAAAGGCTACAATCATGGGCGTTGACCAGCTGACACCACGAAAAGACCGGACACCCACAAGCAAAGCCGTTTGATTCTAGTTTGCAGTACCCAGACATGGCTCATGCTGCAGAACAACCACGGCGGGACAGAATAAACAACAGCCAAGAGCTTGGACATCGTAGGCAATCCTGCATGGCAATCGTACCGCTTATCATGGCCAAGCCAGTAGTTGTGGTGGTGACAATAGCAACCGTCAGGACTTTAACAACATGAGCACAGAAGCGACAAATGGGTAAAACAAAAAGCATGAAGGCTTGGGCATGACCAAACATATGCACAACAAAGTGTATGTATGTGTGTGTATATATATATACGTTTATATATGTACGTGTGTGTGTGTGTGCATAAACACTGACATATATATACATGCTATACGATACAGCAAATATGTGGATACACATCTGTCTGTCTGTCGGTCTGTCTGTCTGTGTGTCTGTCTGNNTCTGTCTGTCTATCCATCCATCTGTCCAGCTACCTGGCTAGCTAGCTTCCAAATATCTGGCACCAAAAGGGGGCGGCGCTAGATTCCCCGTTATCACATCATGTGGCCAAGTCCCAAAACCCTCAACCTCAACACCCTAGATACCCTAGACCGTCTACCCTAGACCCCCAAGAAAACAAAATTAAACCCTAGACCCCAAAAGCCTCAGGCAGCCTAAACCTTGAATATCTCAAAGCCTTAATGCACCCTAGAAAGCCGCAAGCCCCAGGTCAGTCCAAGGAGCCGGGGCGACCGCTGGCGATGTCCGATCCTGCGCCACGGCTGACCTGCGGTGCTCTTGGGTTCAAGACCTTCGACTTTCGGGTTATTTAGGGGTTAGATATACATACATATATATACATACATATATATATATATATATATATTTATGTATATATATATATACATAGATAGATAGGGTTTCGGGGTTTAGGGTTGAGGGTTCTTTGCGGGTTATAGGGTTTCAGGGTT